TATTTTCACATCTTTCTCAAGGTACACATTTTGGAGGGTGGGTGGGAGGAGGAAGACCAGCGACTTGATTCTTGCCCTCATTGAAACCAGTGAGTCCACTCCTATTAACTTCAACAGGAGCAAGATCAGGCCCTCTTCTAGCTACAAAATCTTAGGGCTGGTCTACTCTAGGATATTACATTGATATAGCTACATCTTTCAGGGTGTGAAAAATCTACATACTTGAGAGATGTAGCTATACTGACCAAACCCTGACAGCGCTAGGTTGATGGAAAAATTCTTCCATTGACCTAGTTACCGCCTCTTAGAGAGGTGGATTACCTATGCTGATGGAACAACCCTTTTCATCGACTTACGTAGTGTTTACACTGAAGCATTCCAGCAGTGCAGCTCAGTGGTGCAGCCAGGGCCGGCGCTTCCATTTAGGCAACCTAGGCGGTCACCTAGGGCACCAGGATTTGGGGGGGGGTGGCAATTCAGCGGCGGGGGGGTCCTTCCGCACTCCGGGTCTTCAGCAATTCTGCGGTGGGCCCTTCACTCGCTCCGGGACTCGCCGCCGAAGTGCCCCGAAGACCGGGAGCGCGGAAGGACCCCCCCGGCCGCAGAATTGACAACGACGACCGAGAGCGCGGAAGGACCCCCCCACCTAGGGCGCCAAAAACCCTGGCGCCGCTCCTGGATGCAGCTATGCTGTTGTAGTATTTTAAGTGTAGATGAGCCCTTAGCCTATATGCCAGTCGTTTTCAATCTTTTTTTCATTTGCGGACCCCTAAAAAATTTCAAATGGAGGAGCAGACCCCTTTGGAAATCTTAGACATCGTCTGCGGACATCCAGGTTGATAACTATTGCTCTATGTTCAGATAAAGCATATATGTGAAAAGGTGCATATGTGTTTGAGACAGAGAGAGTGCCAGTGAGCTTTGGGACCTTCAGCTAACACCTTCCTTCCTGAAACGCTGAAGAAAAGATACCTAGCAAGGTCATTGGCACTTTTGTTTAACCATCTATTTCCTACCTCACTTAATTATTCTGAAATTTCTGACAGTATGTTACACTGCAGTGCCCTCCCCTCCTAGAGTGCTTTGTGGTTTAGAGGCCACCACAGCAATGAAGCCATGATGAATGCCAGTGGAAAATCCCTAGCATAAGAAAACTGCCAAGTCTACACTTTGTTTATCTATTTCCCACCAAATCTAAAGTTTCTTTTACAAAACATGTTTATCTCTTTGCAGTTGAGAGGGGGGAGAACCCAGGACAAAGTGCTGCACTCTACCCTTGTTAACTCAACCTTCCCAAAAACTGTTTCTAGCCACACAAACAGCAAGAGCAGGAAAGGTCTGAATTAAACTGTTTCCCTACCTCACTGAGGGTTGAACATCAAAGCCCAGCTGGGGGGCCATTTACCTGCTAACATCAAGCCCAGAAATTTAAGTTCCTGTCTAAATGAGGAAAAGCTACTGTGTTGTGGGAACATAGGCCAAAATTTTCAAGTGTGGGTGCCTAAAGTTAGGCTCCTGAATTCATATTTGAATTCACTTTGCCAGAAGCTAGGAATGGGCAACAGGGGATGGATCACTTCATTACCCATTCTGTTCATTCCCTCTGGGGCACCTGGCATTGGCCACAGTCGGAAGACAAGATACTGGGCTAGATAGACCTTTGGTCTGACCCAGTATGGCTGTTCTTATGTTCTCATATTTAGGTTCTCAAATATGAGGGCTGTAGTATAATTGGGCAACACAGTTAAAACATGATTCCTTCTATACCACAAGACTGAAGGCTTTGAGATACTGTGGTGATGAGAATGGGACAGACAGAAAGAACAACCTATATGAGTATGTTGTAACATGATCCCAGAACAAAACATGTGTAGTGTAGCATAGTCCTAGGGAGAGACAAGAAGTCACTTTTGAAAGAAGTGTGTTCTGCTTTTCCTCACACTTTTTAAACAATGGGCCCTTTGTTTAGTCTCTCTTAGAAGTGGGACTTTCCTGTCCTTGCATTAACTGGAAAGAGTGCAGGATGTTCCAAGAGCTGTCATTTTTTAGAACTTTTTTTCTCCCAGTTTTCAGTGGAGGCACATAACTCTTTTCAGCTGTATCTTCAAGCTGCTGTACTATAGATTTTATCTACGAAGGGAGTCCTGTGAGGTCATAGATTAATGCCTTGTACTTTACTCCTGCGGACTCAGCTGCTGTCTCTACAATGCTTTGTTTCCTAGGTCCTAGACCAGGGGTCTCAAACTCAAATGACCACGAGGGCCACAGGAGGACTAGTACATTGGCCC